TTCTTGTCTCTTCTCCATATTTTCTTCTCTTATTACCTATTAATCAATGATTTTCTAATTTTCAATTTAAATCTAATCACATCGTAATTCGTAAGGAATGTAATTTAATTACTTAGTATTCTGTAATCGTATACTCTAATTGCAGTTACGGATTACATCATAATTCAATTGAACAGAGATCCGAATTACCAATTAAAAAATGTGATTGAATTATAATGTAAATATAATTCCGCGAGTAATTCAATTGTAATTCTGCACAACTCTGCTGTGCAGTCTCGGTGCAATAAAAAATGACATAATGACAATAATTGAGAGAAGGGACCGCACTGGCGAGTATTGTGTAAGCGGAGATACAACTTTATCAATGTATAATGCGATACAGTTTCATATTGATGGCCGTATTCCACTTTCGCACTTTGACCTTTGGTTTCTCGTACTCCCAGCTGTAATCTACTACCACCGTGGTTCGTGATTCTTTGTTTACAAACCGCCAGTAGAGCTCGAACTTCAATGATGACAGCATTCTTGGTAAACTGTGCAAATACTTGATTTACAGAAGATTTTGTATTTATTTTGATAAAATAATTTCATTTTAATTCAGTGGCATCGTATTGTCTAGTAGACGTTTTTTGGTACCAAGCACTCTTTAGAATGTCAAAGCGTCCGAATGTTTTAGAGACATTAAATGTAGCCTTTCGCCGTTCGAATATTCTGTAACTGTTTTCTTTGCGAAATAAAACTTCGAAAGAGGAATTAATAAATATTTCTAAGTAAATCATGCCGTCTGCAGGATCTTGGAAATCTAAAGTATTCTTAAAACTAAACTCATAATGTCTACAGAGTATTTTCCCGTACAGACGCTTTTACCTAATCGTATGCAAGATTCAATAAATGAAGCTTAATTCCAGATAGAGATAAACGTAATTACATACAGCGAGCAACAGAAGTATTTAAATACTTTTTAAAGCGGAATAATTTTTTTTAAATTGAACCAAATGGTTTAAATTTTTTTTAAGACGTTAGATCTATTAGTTTTTAGATTACGCTAACAATTTAATTAAAATCAGTTATCGCAGAAATAAGCTGCAAATATCGAAAGATGCAAAACTCTCCGGATCTCCTGCAATTACTGGTCAACAATTTATAAACAACACATTTTGTAGATCTCAGTAACTTATTTGCATGTGGAAAATTTCATCGAAAATTGTCATCGTTGCGAGCTGTAAACAATTAACCTGTTAGCTGTAGCAATCTCTGTGAAAAGTGTATCCATGGTTGTTGTAATATGGTATGAACTTGTAATGAAACGACTGTTCTATTTTCTAATTTTATCACTAACATTGATTTATTTATTTACATAACTCCAGCAGTTAGTTGTTATTGACGTGTATATTCGTCGTGATGGGTGTATTCGTCAAAACAGCTAACTAGTTAAAGATTGTCGGTTTTTGGCTGTTTCTGGTGAAATTTTCAATGTGCAAATATGTTACCGAGATCTACAAAATGTATTGTTTAGTTTTTTTTTTGTTTCAGTCATTCATGTTTTTGTTATTTCACCAATTTGCAATTTTTGCAAAATCTTGTTTAAACATACTGTTTAGTAAACTAAGCATCTTAGAAAAAATTTAAGTGGTTCGGTACACTTTTTAATGAAGTTATTCCGTCTTAAAAATGTTCGAATACTTTCGTTGCTCACTGTATTGTCCAAGGTAAATTCTAAGATATGTTTTGTTGCTGTACCGTGTTTACGGAGCTGGATTTCGGTAACGCCACCATGCCAACAAATAAAACGAAAAAATTACGAGTTTCAATTCATTTGAGCAGTGTGTTCTACATGTCAATGGTAGCGTAAATAACAAAATATATATTGAGAGACAGCGATAGGAAAGTCTTTCAGAAGAGCGAAGCAATTCTGGATTGTAGTAGTTTTTTATTATGAAATTTCCGTACGAATGGACACCCGAACCAATGTTTATACTTCATTTGCTCACAAACAACATGTTATGAAGTACATAAAAAAAAATTATGAAGCGAGACCAGCTTTTGCTACAGAGTAGACTGTAGACAACAATAAGTAGAACAATGGGATGAGGAAAATTTAATAAACTGGCAAAAATATTTGACGATTAAATTTTGCTTTTTCTTGTATTATCATCATCGAAATATTCTCCTCCTTTTACCGCTTGCTTTATAATTTACTTGGTGACTAGACGGGTAAGTATTGATTTATTCGTAATAGTTTTCAAATCGGGAAAGTGTTTTCATATTTAATGTAAGTGCATGTATAGTTTAACATTTCAATATCGATTGGACTAAGAAAATATTATATTTTTCGATTCATCTTAATATTTCAAATCTTCGCAATTGATCTAACTTGATTTAATACTAAGTTTAAGGAGGTCTTAATACAGCTGTTTTACATTTTTTTTGTAAATACAGCAAGCTTTAATTTATTTAGAGTTTCAGCGATTTTTATCGTAATATATATCCTGTGAAATTAAACCGAATGAATTCCTTTATAAATGTATCTTTATAATCGTAATAATCGTAAATTAAACAATTTGGATTATGTCTTTTTAAATTTACCGTTAATGTTGATGAAATACGTAAATGCTGGTATTAATATTAAAACGATAGAAAGTGCAGGTAAATATATTCAATCGGAGTGATACAAAAATCATTGCGCGAACGCGATCATAAACCGGACAGATAATTCACGTGACAAAAAGCAAAATTCAATTTCACGATGTTTCAATGAGTCATTCCTTGAGACGATGAGACCACAACCTTCCAGTCAGGTGTTCGTTACAATGGTATGGACTGCAGATTATACAGATTGGCGTGCAATGGATACTAAAATCCTTGGGAAACGATATCAACTATCTAGGAATCCAATGATACTGACTTCGATCACGTTAACAATATACATATATAATATGCACATTGAATACTTCTCATCTAAATATATGCAGCAGGTGTAATTGAACAAAGAGAGCAAACAATAGTTGCATTTAAAAGTATTTTTATACTTTACAATAATAAATCTAGAATAAAAAATTTTAAAAAAATAACTGGACATAATGACACCAATACCACGATTCTTTCCAAATCATAACTCTTTCTCATTGTTTCTCCATGGTTATTTCCGGTTTATTAATGGTCAGCACATTACCATCATTTCCCATCGAGTATCCTCGTATACTCGTAAACAAAGCCGCAGATTGCATTTTCGCAAAGAAAAAAGTTACCCAGAATGACCTCAATTACCTCAAATTTTCGTAATGCGAGACATTTTTGGGACACCCTGTATAGATATTTGTCATCGGTCTATGGGTTGTATACAAACGTCATTTCATATCTAAATTATGACATAAATACCCGGAACCTGTTTTTCACACAATTCGTACGCCCAAAATTCGCCACAAATCCACGATTTCACCCTTGACCTCCATTTTATCTTCATTAATTCATTAGATACTTTGTTCTCCAAAATTCGTGCACATTTCTTTCTGTTGTCTTACAACTACCGCATATTTGTCTAACTTACAATACATTGTCAACTTATTTCCGATTAAGTTCCGTCGTATCTCACTTTTTATCTGATTAAACAAAAAATTGCCAACGTACTCGACATTGATAAAAAATATTCACGACGAACATATTCGTCATTTGCATGAATCCCATGGCAAATATATTCGTCATTGAACAANACTTCTCATCTAAATATATGCAGCAGGTGTAATTGAACAAAGAGAGCAAACAATAGTTGCATTTAAAAGTATTTTTATACTTTACAATAATAAATCTAGAATAAAAAATTTTAAAAAAATAACTGGACATAATGACACCAATACCACGATTCTTTCCAAATCATAACTCTTTCTCATTGTTTCTCCATGGTTATTTCCGGTTTATTAATGGTCAGCACATTACCATCATTTCCCATCGAGTATCCTCGTATACTCGTAAACAAAGCCGCAGATTGCATTTTCGCAAAGAAAAAAGTTACCCAGAATGACCTCAATTACCTCAAATTTTCGTAATGCGAGACATTTTTGGGACACCCTGTATAGATATTTGTCATCGGTCTATGGGTTGTATACAAACGTCATTTCATATCTAAATTATGACATAAATACCCGGAACCTGTTTTTCACACAATTCGTACGCCCAAAATTCGCCACAAATCCACGATTTCACCCTTGACCTCCATTTTATCTTCATTAATTCATTAGATACTTTGTTCTCCAAAATTCGTGCACATTTCTTTCTGTTGTCTTACAACTACCGCATATTTGTCTAACTTACAATACATTGTCAACTTATTTCCGATTAAGTTCCGTCGTATCTCACTTTTTATCTGATTAAACAAAAAATTGCCAACGTACTCGACATTGATAAAAAATATTCACGACGAACATATTCGTCATTTGCATGAATCCCATGGCAAATATATTCGTCATTGAACAAAAACCTCCGATCGTTGCGAATGTGCTGAATAAAAAATAAAAATGCCCATGACATATATACATATTCGCCAAAAATGTCGAAAGGGTTAAGCCAAACAGCAAAGTTGGATCAGCGCCGTTCCGTCTTATCTAAATTCCGCCAGGAGGCACGGAGTTCCCATTCGACATCTCGATCTGTTCCTCGTTATCCTGAGGAACAAATAACCTATAGGTAGAGTGTTCGTAGTCGCGCGCATGCGTCTGGAATCGTATGCATACGGAAACCGTAAACACAGGGCGGAAATGTGTTATGGTGCCATGGAGCGCGTCCTTCCCTCCGTTTTCCACGCTTTCCTCGATCGACCGAGTCGCGTTTCGGTCCGATCCAGTCTGGTCCAGTCCGGTAGGTTAGGTTAGGGTCGTCGCGGCGGTTTCGATGGGCGCGAAGGGACGCGGCGGGACGGCCCGTGGTGGGGCGCAGAGGGAAAGGGAGAGGAGAGAGTGAGAGGAGAGGGGAGAGAGCAAGCGAACTCCCACCGTTCCACGATTCACTTCGCACTTCAGTCGCCTCGTGTACCTCGGAACGCGAGTGTTCGTCCGTATTTCACGGTTCGCGTTCCGTCTCCCGTCCCTCCGGTCGTCGTCAGCTACGTTCTTCTCGTTCAAAAACCGTGTGCTCCTCCGCCGAAATTCGAATTGTGTGTCCCGCGTGATCCAATTGCCCAGTGAGCCGCGAATCGCCTCGCCACACTTCCTTACCGACCGAGTCGTGTGCACCAAATTTTCGGACTGTTCGGCGGCGAACACTTTACTATCTCTTTCTCTCTCACTCTCTCACTCTCTCTTTTTTTCGATTTTTCGAAATTGTGGTAAAATGTTGGTGGGAAAGCTGTTCGTGAGCGAGCCTGTGAGCAGTGCTGCCGGTGTTTAGTGGATAGATTCGTCGACCGATTCTCTCGAGCGAATCTCGTGTGCCGTAGTGACTCGTGAAAGAGGTTTACTCTCGCTGGCCGCTTGCATGTGTTGACTTCATGGTCTTCGAGAGCGTCGAGAGGCGGAACCCGGGGTTCCTCCGCGAAGACGCTAGACACGGTTACATCCAATACATCAGGTAGGAGTTTTCCCCTTTGATTTCGATCGTTGTTTTAAATGAAACGGTAATCACGACGCTCGACGGAATTGTTGATCCCCGAGCACGCGAGATGTATGCCCAGTACACCGCACGCGGCCATGTGAATAAGATAATGTGTCATCGTGTGCTCTCGCGTATTGTTCTCGGCGAAGGAAATCGTTCGGAGAAGTATCGATATGTCGATGGTGTACCGATGGCGATTCAAATCGCTTCGGCGAATATTCGTTGAATCTGCATTTTCGTATTTATTCGTTTGCAACGTTTGTTGTCCTTCGAGTTACTTATTTTATCTTTATCTGAAAATTGAGTTATTGGTACGTGGCTGCAGTGCGAAAGTAAGAACAGAGCATCGAAGTATAATTTTAAGGATCGATTTTTATAGAACTTTTAAATTTGTTCGCGAGGATACGTCGTTTTAAAAACTTTTGCGACTACGTTGAAATAGATTGACAGTAAATTATAATAGGACTATAAATCGACTGACAATAAAAACAACCGCAGTAAATGCTGTTTAAGAAAAAGATTAGTTTCCTTTTTTTTGCTACTTTTGCGTGTAATCCTTGCTTTTTCAAAGTTTATCGTATAGATATCATGTTCTAAGTATATACTTTTTTCAGTTAAAAAATAAATAGAAACACAAAGATGTTAATTATTAATATTTTTAATTCATAATTGAACTCCTTTAGTTCCACTGGATATTTGTTTCCCAGTTAAATTTAAACGTAAATATAAATATTATGGTAAAAAAGACGTTTTGCTACCATAGAAAACGAATTTCTGTTTTTGGGAATTTCCGGCCACTGTGTGGCGGTTTAATTAAATCTTGGATGACGGAATCGTATATTTACAATTATTAAGTTGATGATGTATATGACAATCTGCAGCTTTTTTCATCAATTCTCTAAAATGTATTTTTGAAAATACTTACAACGCATGACACCGAATGCGATAATCAAAAAATTCTGAAACTTTGGGGATATGTATTATGTGTTATGCAATTTTATTCCTTGCGTAAATTCGCCATAAGGGGTGCACATTAACCCCCAAATATTCGGCTATTTTTTATTTCATTGCTATAATTTTCAAGCTGTACAAGATACAAAAAACTGTTCAAACAAAAGATACTTCTATCATGTGGTATACAATTCGTTAATTGTGTTTTAATTTAAACAATTGGAAAAAAGTTGTAAACAAATAATCGATATCCTTTTTCACACTTTTATTTTTCACGTTTAATTTTTAATCCGTGATTCAAATAGTCATAAACGACATTAGATCATTTTTTGTCGTTAATGTAACTGCAATATTAGTGTAACAGTATCTATTCGATTTAATTGTCGAAAAATGAATCATTAGTTGACGATTTAAATGAGCTGGGTAAAATTGAACCGATAGTCGCAGTCCGAGGGTTAAAAAACCTAATGTCGTGTGTTCTATCTGTTTTCCTGTTTATCCGCAAGGTGGTTAGTTTTCGTGTTAACTGACATAAAGCAACAGCTGCGCCCTTTATGCCGCTCCAACTTGAAAGGGGGACCCTCGAATGCAATTATTTTTAAAAAGAGAGAGAGGGGGGGGGGCCACGAGAGCCAGCTTTTGTATAAGTTTTGAATCTCTCTCACGGTAGCCAGTCCCAATCTTCTGTTCTCACAGTATTGTAACACGTGTAGCACTGCCGATATCAATCGTTTGAAGATCTGTATCTGGTACCTTTAAGTCTTCATTCTGGGACTTTGGTGTCTGCATTCTGCAAATAATGATTTGAGCTTAGTTAAAGCGATAAATGTCGAATAAATCAGTAAAGTTTTGAGACATCAGGTCAGACAAATTTATTAACAAAATTTATTATCAGGTCAGACAAATTTATTAATAAAATTTATTATCAGGTCAGATAAATTTATTAATAAAATTTATTATCACAGGTCAGACAAATTTATTAATAAAATTTATTATCAGGCCAGAGACAAATTTATTAATAATATTAATAACTCTATCATTATGACATTAATTTTCTAATCTTAAATACATTATTTAAGTACGACGCTTCCCTTGTGTGACCTCGGCGTTGACAGATTAAAGCTTGTAATAGTGTAAAAGTAAGTTAGGATCATTTACAATTTCTATTTATCAATTTTGTTCTACATACTTTTTAGGTATATACTTCTAAGGTTAATTTTTCTATGGATCTTAAGACAAGCCGTCGAGCACTGAAATTGTCTGATACCTATTGTTTTATAAGAATGACGAAACAAACTATTTCTGCATTTTATCACACATTTCGCCACTTTTAGTCTAATATATACTTGAATTAAAAAAATCTATTCCATCATTTCTTGCAAAAGAGTCTTTGTAATGTCAACAATTTTAAAACAAACAACGTGAAACCAGTAAATATTTTTTATAAGCTCAATATTTTTAAAAACATTTAGCTGATTTTTCACGTTTATCTTCAGGATAATTTTGTTTTTCTATTACAATGACAACGTTACTTTCTTCTGGAAGGTATTTTATTTCACTTGAGAACATCATATTACACAAAAAAATGCTCCAAACAAAAGTTGCGCATTTTTTTAAACGTAAAATTGATGATTCCAAAATAAAAAGTATAGATTTATGATAAAAAAAGCAAGATGGCCTTGATATAATCTTGAAAAGGTCCACGCATTAAAAAACTAGTAGTGTCATTTGACTCCCCACTCGAAATACTAAAGGACATGTGTCAGTTTTTTTTTATTTTTTAAATCACGTGTCTACGAGATTTTTTTACAATCGCAATTTAAATAAGACACCCAGCATAATTTGTTTCATTGAATCCATATGAAAGATTTGAAACGATCTACGATCAACCTAAATATTTAGCTTGACAATCTTCCATAGAAAAAAAATGTTCATCTCTCAGAAATAACGCTCTATAAAGAATAAACAGACAGTGCAGGGGTTACTGTGTCGGAAATAAATACTGATTAGAGGAGATCGAGAAATTGTGTTCTTTGCGTAACAGCAGTTTAAATAGAACTGCCGCAAAACATCTGGCAATAATCGAGCAGTAGCTGACTATTATTAAATATACATAGAGTAGTGGAGCTGGTTACAGTGCCTTCTCGATTTGTTTTCGGTCATAATTGAATTTATATTTATTGAATAAGACACATGAATATTTTTTATTCTTTAACTTTGTTCATTTTTGAATGAAAAGATTTAATGTTTTATTTGATAAATATAAAATTAATCAAGCCTGAAAATAAACCAGACACAATAATTTGTCATCCCGCAATAACCAGCTCCACTATTTTAGGTATAGAACCAGCGAATGAGAACCATTTAAGAAGCTGAATGTCCAGAATATGCGCAAAGAAATGTGTGCTATGATATGATAGCCTGCAAATGCGCGCAAATAATAATGTAAATCAATGAAAACCACTCAGCAAATATTTATATCTTCATCGAGATGTTTTAGTAAATTCAGTAGGATTATGATGGATACAAATTTCCATGACTGTGTTTCTCCGCATTCAATCAATTCTATTCGACATTGCGGGATTCCCATTTCAGAAACCATCAGTTCACGTAATTATAGTAACACGAGAGATTATTGTATTTGTGCAACGGGATTTGATTGCTGTAACCGTCGAAGATTAGTACAGATACACCGATCCTTTGCAATCGGATGTCAATTTTGCTTTCATAAAATCTGTGTACAATTTTATCAAATTTTATTTAAATGTACTAATTATTTCTAGCTTTCTATCGTTTTATATTTCTTTTTTTTCCAAGCGTTACTCACTACTTTGCCAATAAGTACACTGTTGGAAGAAGATCTGGGCATTATCGATATAAATTATTTGAAAAATAATCATTAAGATAATATATCATTTTATTTGGCTACGTGTTATTTGAAATAACTATACATTACTTTATCTGAGTGGTTAAATAATTTTTCAAATAAGTTCAGTTTAAAATAAAATAATTTTTTCTTTATTTGTTATTTGATCAAATATTTATTCAAATATTTTCTCAAATACTTTTTAACCCTATCATGTCCACTATGCCAACAACGTAAGTTTGTATGCTAAAAGAAAATGCAGCTAAATTATAAAAATACCATTCCATGTATAATTAGAGTTTATTCGTGTATAATTAAATTTAGTTTAGTATAATTAATTCAGTAATTTTCAGCTAATTTCGAACAATTAGATCAAGAATTTTTATCAATTCTTATCAATTTCAGTTCGAATTAATCAAATAATTCTTATGTCAAATATCATTTGCTATTTTATTTCAGCGAATAATTCAAGTGAAAAATTATTTGAAAATAATTTATTTGAATTGAAAACGGAATAATGTATATAGTTTTCTATATNATTGTCTGTGAAATAAAAATAATAAAGTGTTTGAATTAATCTGATTATTTATTATTATATATTATTATTATTATTAAATGATTATATATCA